ATGGATAATAATTTATAGTATAAAAGCATATGTCCCAAGCTGTCAAACAATACACAAAAGGGGCGATGTATCATGTGGGAGGGTAGAAAACATCTTCTTGATCTGATTGGGCATTTTTAAGAGTGCTCTTTTTCAGAAAGCAGAAATGTGAGGCAAAAATGATTTAATTTTCTTGTGCTGGGAATTATATATCCAAAACAGCTGAGCTGATATAATGCAAAATTTGCAATGCTTACGCAATTGCTCCTAAATTATATTATGATCTGCTCACCCACCACATATGGTAAGTTATTATCAAAAGATTCTGTGAATTTCTGGTGCAGTTTCTTCCAAAGAGGAAAACAGATTCTGGGGGAAAAAAATCCAATACTTTTCTTAGCATCCACCTCTTGGATTTTAAAGGTATCAAAGATCTGTTCATCTCATATTCATAAATGCTTAACTTGAGAAATATGTTTGAAGATAATAGAAATATACAAATAGACATTGCTCACCATTACTATGCATCCCTAAGAAAAACTAAAGAAAGCCCACACAAAAGTTCACTATTGACCAGCAATTTATACAGCCAATAAGCCTCATAACATTTTGGAGAAAATCTGATACCCCAGGCATCATTTGATAGTAATAAATCATTCAATACTCTCTACCGAGTATACAACTAAGCAAAATCAGCAATCAGCCCAGAGCGGTAGCAAGAAATAAGACAGTTGGACATTTCTGTCTATAAAGTAACCATACACCAGACATGGGTTTTGTCAGGATGTTCTAGAATTTAGATACATAAGTAGACTCTAGACCAGTTAAATGTAGTTCCCAAGCTACAACCATTTGTTTAGTGACTGTTCAAAGTTACAACAGCACTGAAAAAGTGACTTATGATTGTTTTTCACATTTATGACCTTTGCAGCATCCCCATGGTCACATGATCAAAATTTAGACACTTGGCAACTGACTCACATTTATGACGGCTGCAATGTCCCATATTCATGTGATCACCTTATGTGACCTTCTGACAAGCAAAGTCAATGGGGAAGATAGATTCATTTTAAAACCATTTATTTATTTATTTATTTATTTATTAAACTTTTACCCCGCCCTTCTCCTTACGGACTCAGGGCGGCTAACAACCAATAAAATACAAATACACCCCAAGACACCCCTTAAAACTTGGTTAAAAAGAAATATTTAAATTGGCTATAATTAATTAAAAATGTTTAAGAACCCCACTAAAAAATTTCCCCTTAGGCCAGT